TGGCCTGATCCATTGTATTGGGAGCACGAAAAGGGCACCCCGTCAAATGGTGAAATTGGGCGCCCTGTGAAATGGTAAAATGGTGCTCCATGTTTTCACCAAGGCCACAAGTGTGGCCTGATTTGTTGTACTTTTTAAGGGAGCACGAAATGGATGTGTCCTTTCTTGCAAATGGATGTTCCCACACTCGCCCTTGAAAGATCTGTGAATGTTCAGTAGGAAGGTAGATAGGCGTAGGATTTTTGCACGCTCAATTCTGCGTGCCAATCTTGAAGTAGTTTTACAACCAGGATGGATAGAATGTTAACTGTTTCGGTGCCTTTTTTCCTTTTTGCGCCGGTGCCATGCATGCGAGCTTTCCCCACTTCCCACTATGACCCATGCCATCTTCACCCTTCTCTTCGCGCTTCTCTCCTTCACCTGTAACTGTTTTCCATCCCCTCTCCCTTTGCGCTGCTCTCCTGCTCCTTTTTCATCTGAATCATGGTCCCACTCCGCACTACTCTTCGTGCTCTTCTCCTTCCCGCCCTCATCACCATACAGGAACTCCCTACCTATCCGCCCCCATGATATTCGAGTCGTCAGGTGACATCGTGTAAGGAGGCTACTCCCCACATGCTGTGATCTGATTGGCTGCGAAGGAACTCGCAGGGATCGATATGGCTTTCACTGGGCAATTACCCCAAACTCTCGCTTCACCCCCTACTACCTCTGCCTCATTCCCTCCCATCTTTTATCTCCCTTCTTGCAACCCATCTGCCAGCTTCAGGGAAGTGGTGGCTAGGTGATGTGGAAGTAGCGAGTCGGAAAGTCCTGACGAGCTGACTGCAGTGTATGCAAGGCTGTGCGTCGGGTGGCTGCGACGAACTGCGGGATCTGGGCAAGTTGGTGCAAAAGCTGAGTTGGCGGGGTGACGATCGCTGTGGTATGGAGGTTTGTATGTAACGACCAGGATCGCTAGTACGAATTGTGTGTGTGTGTACGAGTGGTTGCATGGCCAGGGGCCATTATCATAGAGCAGAAGGGGTTCCACTACCGGACACGTGGTGAGGACGAGCACGAGGAAAGAGCAATCAGGCTGAGGCCATCCACGTTGGATTCCGAACTCTATAGCGAACGGCGTAGGGACTTGATTCGAAAACGAGACCCTACATGTGTACCCCCACCTTTCCGTTCGAAAAGACGACCAACAGCCTGCATGGAGGTACAAACATACTTTTTGGATTAGGCAAACATTTGAAAGTAGTATGCGCCATTTCTTTCCTATGCGGCTATGGTCCTTTCTCATTAAAACTGGAATCACACGGAGGGCTTTCAGTTCCGTCTGTGGCCCCACACTCAATATTCCCAAAAATCCTTGGCACACCCCGTTTTACTGTTCTTTCATGGCCTATTCTGCATAACTTATCACTCCCACCGAAAGACGGGACAGGGTGTGAGGTTGAACGTCACATATCGCACCTGCTGGTGGGTGCAGCTGCCACATGTTCCCTCGTTCCTCGTAATAAAAAAAAAAGCCTGAAAGGCCGTCCTGTCGAGATTCAACAGGTATTTGAATTGGTTGGGCTTAAAGAATTAGCCTTAAAAAAAAGAAAAAAGGGATCGTAGTAAAAAAGAAGGGCCAGGGGGTGCAGCAGGGCCACAAAGGCATGGGAAATAAATTCCTAGGACGAGAATCCTATTCACCTTTTCATGTCTTTAAGGCTTGGGAAAAGAAGGCCTGGCAAAAGAGCCTGTTGCGCAGGCCACATAATGAGCTGCTTGAAACCACCAGTACCTTTTTCAGCTATCCATGCTGAGCCTAAAACTGTTCTGCGCGCCAGAAAAAACGAAGCGGCGCGGGCCTCGTTTTGGGTAGTGCCACCAGCCATTTTGCGCCGGTAGTCCCAAGCCTGCCCCCTCCCGTGTTAACCGGTGGCCATTTGTTTTTCAAGCAGGGAAAGGTACTGGTGGTTTAAAGCAGCTCATTATGTGGCCGGATACTGCGCCAGTGGACCCCAGCCTCTTGTTCCCAATGCTGGGATTTCGTGTGATCCAAAGAAATCTGAACAGCAGCGGCCCTTCTTGGGTTGGAAGGGTTTTTACAATGGCTGGGTCATCCATGAAGAAAAAGAGAAGGTCCAGGATGTGGTGGAGCCAGACAGGCTTGTGGAAAGGAGGTGTGGGGTGAGAACTGTACCTTTCTTTCCACAAAAGAAAAGAAGGGCCAGCGTGTGGGGAGGGCACAAAAGCTTGGGGAAAGGAGGAGTGGGGCAAGAAGAGTACCTACTACCTACCTTTTCAGGCCTGCTCGAATGGGCGGCATAAGAGTGGCATCAGTCATAAAACAAAAGGAAAGGATGGTATCTAGGCGGGGAGGGCTTTCTCTTTTTTTTTTTGGAAAAGCAAACCACTTCATTATATTATAAAACTTCCAGGGGCCAGAACCGTGTTCACGAGAGAACATGTGGGGGCTGCTCCTGCTACGGGGTTCCCCGTATGCCTACAATTAGGAGTAGTGGTAGGTAGGTAGTGTGAGGTGAAATTGAGAGAAGAATATAGCTTTTTGAAAAAAAAAAAAAAAAAAAAACTTCCAGGGGCACAGTTCCAATAGACGAACTTCAGAGGAATTTGTCGAAGTCAGTGAAGTGTGGCGAGCTCACCCTGCAATTAATTTTGGCGCTCCACCTACTGGTCCTTCCGGGCTAAAATGGAAATGGGGCCTCCACCCACCGTCCCATTCGGGGCTGTTACGAAAATGGTGCAAATGGTCCAGAAAAAAAAAATAAAAAAAATAGTGCTCTTCATTTCTAGCATTCGCAGAACTGTGGTCAACGGTGTACCACCACATGCAAAAATAGTGCTCTTCATTTCTAAAATTCAGAGAATTGTGGTCTGATGCAATGCATCGTTTTTGAGGGAATGCGTGGCCAAGGAAACTTTGCAAGGGCTTCTTCAATTTGATGCACGTCGAACCTGCTGCGGTATGCGCTCCACCCTTCTCAACTGAAGAACACAGTGAAGTACTGCACACGCATAGTGAAGAAAACATATGCGGCTCTGCAGTGGAGCCAAAACTAAAATCACTGAATTTAAGTCAGTGGAGCACAACCGGTTGTATTATGAAACTTCCAGGGGCACATTTCCAATAGCCACGGGATTTGACTTCACAAAACCTGTGCGGACCATGAGCCGGCCTGTGTGTGGCCTGTGCGGAACATTACAGAAAAGAAACAAAACAGAAAACCCAATGTGAGGCAGAACAGTGGTTAGGTGGAACGTGTTGGACGAACTTAGGGCCCACTCACACTAGCTCTATCAGAAAGTACCTGAGCACATGCAGGGCCGGACCTGGATGTATCTGGCTGCAATTACGTCCAAAACTGAGTAAGAGAAGGTCTTAGTGTGAGTATGTTCTTAGTGTGGCTGTCTGAATGTTGCCCATTTCTGGGGCCACTAAGGCTTGTGCTCCACAGACTGATTTCAGGGAATTCCTCCAACAATATGGGCCTCCATAGTTTTCGTATGTACAGTGCAGCAGCCAGCAAACAAGGACTCCCCCACCAGAGCTCATTCCTAGGGGGGTGTGTCCTGGGCCTGCAAAGTACATCCCCTAAAGTAAACATGGGAAACCCCATCTCTTCTTAAGTAATTTTCCTCAAAAGATGGTGCAGTCACTGCCATGCATCAAAATGCAATCCTGGGTATTTTTCAGTTGTCACGGGGAGCCATTTTTCGTAAGAGCCCAGTGGAGCCCCACTTTTCACTAAGGGAAGTCCGCCGTTCTGGACTTTTTTTTCTCTTCAAACTATTGTTTGGTTTCACTTATCTGTTTCCATCTGGATTTGAACACCTATCTGTATTTCAGCAGTTTATGGGTGTACCCGTTCCAGAAAATCCCAAAAGTAAGCCAGTGGAGCACAAACCTTTTTTTAATACAAAACTACACTATATTCTTCTCTCAAATTCTTTGGCTTTTCAATATTTACCCACTTCCTTCTTCTTCTTCCCCTTTTTTTTCTTTTTTTTTTTTTTTTTTTTTTTTTTTTTTTTTTTTTTTTTTAAAACCACCGGTACTTCCTAGAGTCGTGCCCGTTAACGCGCCACAATTTTAGGAAACGTACGGGCTACTGCAGGAGCGCCCAAATTCATCCGACTAGAAACGTTTCTACTCTATTTTTCCCGCCGATATCTGGGCCAAGTACTGGTGGTTTAAGAGGCGGGTTTCGAGAGACTCGGTGGTTGCAGTCTCAGTCAGCCATTGGTTATCCTGGCAATCCATCCTCTCGTCAATACTCCTAGCGCACTCCCTATCCCCACTATCCTACCTCAGTGTGAATCACTCAGAGCTATCACCCTACCATCTTGGAGGGTGACACCGACCGAATAGCAGGTATAGGTACCAAGGCGGGGCTGGCCACCCAGCCTTGGTAGAACCGGAATCGGACGAGTCTCGTCGTATGGGAACTTCGGATGCCAGGCTCAAGTATTCTCTTTATTAACCCCCCTATTGGTTAGAGGTTCAACCCGAACCAAGTAGCAGGTGTAGGCAGCTTAGGCAGGCTAGCACCCATGGACAAGTTTGGACTGTCATGGCTTACCCAGGCTAGGCGGATCCCTGACCCGCCACAACGACTTATTTCCCTACCCAGCCCTGGACCTGTTCGTATTGAAGCGTGTAGTAGACCCCTGTGACCTCCTCACCAGCCGTACAACAGTACACACAGGGGCGTACACATCCTCCTACCCTTAACATGATTGTTAAAGGGCCCCGTCAAGGGGAGTGGATGGTTCATACGGACGAAACACCTTAACCGTTTCCCAAATTCTTGAACATCTCCATTTCATTGTCACAAACATATATCTTTATGCAGCGGACGACACCTTGCGACATCATCTGATTGGCATCGCGATGGGGACTAATTCTGGTCCGAAGATAGCTAATTTGACATTGTATTGGGATGAGGCTCGCTTTGTTGATGACCTTCAACGGCGTGATCTTTGCGTAGCTCAACGGTATGCGTTCACATACCGCTTGATTGATGATGTTTTCTCATGGTGACATCTGCCACCACCGTTAGAGCACTATGGCCTCAAATGGAAGGAGACCACAGCACCTGATGGCTCTTGCACATTCTTGGGTGCACGCCTCCAAGTCCGCCTTGACGGTTCCCTGCGTATGAGTGTCTTTGACAACGTAGCTGAATGCAATTTCCTTGTTATTCGTTACTAGTGCTACGTCTAACGCCCCTGCACACCAGCTGGCGGGAGTGTCAGTGTACTAGGTTTGAGTATGTCTACAACAACTGGTATGATTTCAAAACTGCAACAGCGATGCTCACACGACGCATGCTTTTTCGCAGGCACTTTCCAACAACGCTTGTGACAGGATGGACTTCCTATATTCATAAACGTCAACACAGGTACCCTGCGCACGTGACCCACCTCTCCAGCTGGTTCCGCAACATGCTTAGATGGTCTATTCACCACCCACTTTCTTGGGTTTCCACACGTTGTCCTTGGACTACGCCTGTCACAGCTCCTTCATTATTGGCGCCTGTCACACCTATCATAGCCTCTTCTTCATTACCTGCGCCTATCGCACCTGCGTCCTCATCAACCTTAGTAACCCCTTCCATGCCGTTTGTGACCCTGGCTGCCCCTTTTCGGTTCGCAACCTCTTCTTCATCGGCCTTGGTTGTTTCTACGATTGATTCTGTGGGAGCAACTCGACCCGCAGTTGCTATGTCACCCTTGGTGTCGGTGTGTTCCTCCATGGTATCCTTGGCCACGCCTGCATTACCACCTGCAGAGTCCCCTCTTCGGGTCTCACCTACGACTGCCCTCCCCGTCTCTACTTCAGCCACTTCACCACCCCTGACTTCATCCCCCCCGTCTTCACCGTCTTTATTTCCCTTGGTTTTATCTTCGTCTGTTACCCACCGTCCGACTACTCTACCACCCCCTGTCTTCACCACTCCTACATCCTCTGGGTTTGTCTCCATCCGTTATCCCTCTTCCTAATTCACAAACTACTTCGTCCACATAGACTTCATCATCCTGTTCTGCCCCTGCAGAAAGCCTACTTCGCCGTCCTAGACGTCGGCTTCGACTTACTCCCCAACCTCAACTTACTCCCCTTTCCTCCATCTCTGTTCTTGGACGAAGAAGAATCTGTTCATTCTCCTCACAACGGCCCTCCTCCCGTTCCCGTCTTTTGTCGCCCCAAGCATCAGTACCACGCCTATGACGCTCTTTAACTGTAGACCTTTCTGCAACACGACAAACACAAAATAGGAGGGATGATGGCAAGGGACCATCTGAGGAAGAACTTGGCAAGGGGACTGTAGGAGATTCTGTAGAAAATCCGCCTGACCGGCCTGCACTGGATCTGTGTGGCCTCGCGGCTACTAACATTTGCCTACAAGCCTATCGTCGGGAACCATACACTCACTCTGATTTCTTGACCATTGCTTCCCATCTTGATGCTTAGGAACGTGAGTTATATGGTGATAACCCGACTCTGCATCCCCCACAGGATAGTAATTACACTCGACATGGGGGATTTAGTGTCTCTGTTTTGGAGACTGCTTTGATCAAATGCTGACTTGATATGCAGCGTGCCCCTTCGGGTGGCGTTGACTAGTGTTCGTACGTTTGTGCCTATATTCTACATACTCCGGGCCACTACCCCGCTCTTGTTCGTGCTTTTGGTTCTGGGGAATTATGGAATGGTGGTGCTATGGTGCAAACTATTCCTGCCATTTGTAATCTCGTGCGTAATTCCTTAACTTTAACTATTCCAAGTCATTGACCCTATGGGTACCTTGTGTACTTCCATGCCCGTCTCTATGCCTATCTTTGTGCATGCCTTTGTACCTGTCCCTGTGCCTGCTTCTGTGTCTGTCTCCTTCCATGTTACTGACCCGATGGGTACCTCGTGTACTTCCGTCCCTACCTCTGCACCTATCTCTGTGCCTGCCTCTGCACCTGTCTCCATGGCCGTTTCTGTGTCTGTCTCCGTGCCTACCTCCATGTCGGTCACCGTGTCTGCTTTAGTCTTCATTCCCCCACATGCTGCACTAACACCTTGTGACCTCCTTCGTTGTGCGATCACTGACACAGTTACACTTGGCTACAACCGTATAATTTTTCAGGCCCGCTGTCGGCAGGGATGCCAATTGTATCCAGATGCAGTATGTCCCATCTGTGCCTACGGACGCTATAGCGAATGTGCACTTAACTGTGATGGTGAATGCCCCACAATCGTCATGGTCTGCGACTGGCATGCCCTCTGCCGTGCATGCTTAAGAGGTATGGTTGATGTTTACAACCGTACAATTTTTCGGGCCTGCTGTCGGCAGCGCTGCCACCTGTATCCAGATGCAGTATGTCCCATTTGTGCCCACGGGTGCTATAGCGAATGTGCACTTAACTATGATGGTGAATGCCCCACAATCGTCATGGCCTGCAACCGGCATGCCCTCTGCCGTGCATGCTTCAGAGGTATGGTTGATGTTAGCCGCCCTGGCTCCTGTTGTGACGCAGTTGCTTACCTTAATGGTTTTCGTCCTATAGATCAGCGGGAGGGCWGCTACCATCGCCCGCATCCTTATGATAGTTGTCCTGTCTGTCGTGAGGGGTCTTACTTAGACATACCTTTCACCCTGACAAAAATGTGCAGGTGCACTGAAAGAGTGTACAGGAATGTGCAAAGGTGGGAAACGCTTCACTAAAACTGCAAAACTGTGAAGAATGCAGTAAAAGAAGAACATAAGTTTGTCATTTTACTTTGTTTGTACCCTGCACCGTAACGCCCTCAAAGAAAAAGTCTGAAGGGTGAAAATGAGAGTAAAAAGTGAAGAAGTGGTGGTGTGCAACGTGGTAGGCTCTTCACCAAAACTGCAAAACTGTGAAAGAAAGAAGAATGCAGTGAACGAAAGAAGATGTTTGTGTCACCTTTTTTATTTTTTTTTCCATCTGCCTATTGATTTTTCCTTTTCTGCTCCTCTCTTCCTTGTGTTTAACACCTCTTCCTTCACTCTGCCTCTTTCCCATAGTGTGCAAGTGGGCTGTCATGGCATACAGGGATGGGGGAAGCTCGCGCTCAACTTCATCAACGTGGCGAGCCTTGTACAGAGGCACGGTGGAGGAGTTAAGAAGACTCAGAAAGTGAATGATTTCAATGTGTCTTTGTCTTTGTTTTTTATCCTTTGGTTAGTGTTTTCATTTTTTGTTGTTGTAAAACACTGAAAGAAATAAGAATACAGTGAAACAAAGAAGAAGAGGACACTGTTTTTTGTCATTCTAGTTTGTCAGTCTCTTTGCCTGCCTGTCCTTTCATTTTTCTTTTTTTCGCTCATCTTATTTCTTCTTCTACTTCACGTGCTTACGCCCTTAGTCAATAGTTCTGTGACAATATATGTGTGCCCGGAGGCTGTGTATGTGTGTGTGTGTATGTGTCCATAGGCTATATGTGTGTGCCCGGAGGCTGTGTGTGTGTATGTGCCCTCAGGCTATGTTAGCAGACGCTATTCCCACCATGGAGCTTCTACGAAGTGAGCAGTGCTGAGAGGTGCTCCTATCACCCCACCAGCACATATGTGTGTCCTTAAGCTCTGCGTATGTGGTATGTGATTGTGTGGACTATGTGTTGGATGATGGGCCAAGTCAAACCAAGAACCCCCCCAAGGTCCCAAGCCAGACTCGAACCCATGATCTATGGCATGCAATTGGAAGACTCTAACATGGGTGCAACAGTCATACATGGTACGTGTGTATGGTATGCCCGACCGGGAAGATCAGCAGAACAACCAAGACTAACAGCGACAAGCAACCCACACAACATCAAGACCCAGCATACAACACCATGAGCAATCTCTTGGGTAGTGCGCAAGCAGTGTCTGTAATAGCTTTACCTGCGTCAGCCCAAGGGGTATGCAAGTGACCATGTGTTATGTAAACGCCCGCCGGTGTCTCTGTATAGAGGCGCGGAGTTTTGAACCTGCAACCCCATACCACAATTCACATTGACAACCGGTGCCCTAACCACTGAGCCACATGCCACTTGCACTATTTACTCCTAAGGCTATATAGAGGGAAACCCTGCAAACATAGCCACCTCTCACTCTGAAGGGATATTGCATGTTGCCCCTTGCCCTAGCGGTTAAGGGTGTAGGGCTGCGGCCACCAGTGGGGGTCTGGCTGACCCAAAGACCAAACATTTTTCTAGTAGTTGTGCCTCCCTTTTCACCGTCCCCCACCCCCCATCGAGTAGCAGCAGTGTCTAAGGCCAACACTCTTGCACACACCACACACAACCCACCTCCCTTTTCATTGTGCCCCACCCCCCATCGAGTAGCAGCACTGTCTAAGGCCAACACTCGCGCACACCACACACAAGCCACTCACGCTTACACTCACACCGTCTTGGCCAAAGACCCTACTAGTACCGATTAGAGGCATCAAGCGGACTATCAAATCTGGTTGGCACTAAGCCTTATTCATATTCGTCTCTTGTATTGTTCTCAGGAAAAAAATTCAAAAATCTAGGACCAGCCCGGAAAACAAAAGTTTTGATCGGTAGAGAGAATTGATAAAGCATGCAATAGATTATTTTTGTTATGCAATACATTTTCAATGCAAAAAATGGATTGAAAGTTGATCCAACTTCATCTTTAAACCACCGGTACTTGTTCCATACATCGGCTGCGGGGTGTGACGCCCAACCTCACGCCCAACGCGACTTCCCGTTCGGAGTGAAATGGGGGCCCAGAAGTGCGAAAAAGGGGTGTGCCAAGGATTTTAGGAAAGTGTGGGGGGGGGGGGGGGGAAGGGGKGGAGTCCCAGGTCGGAACTGGGATCTCCGGTGGCAAGTTTCAGGGACAAAGCTGCAGGACGGTGGTCGCGGATCGCGCCTGGGTTTAGTGCTACGTAGATAGGGGTCACCGCCTTTGCGGGTTCCGTCGTCGGGGTCGGTTTCGTAGTTGGTGTACCGGCGGGACGCTGTGGCTGTCGCGCTGTCTGAGTATTTGTTGCCGACGAACGTCGCAAGTTTCGGAATCTGACGTGGCAGGCCTCAGTCAAAGACTGTGTGCCCGCCGCTCGGTTTCGGAGAGGGTTTGTCGGGTGAACCCCGTGGCTCGGTAGGCTCGATCCTGCTGGCACTCAGAACAATGTGGGTCACGCCAGTGAGGAGCAATCGCACGCTAGGGGGCGATCGTTTGGCTACAGAAGGGTATTTGAGGTAATAAGGAGGATATTCTGTTTCGATGATAACGACGTCGGGTTCCGCGATAATCTGACACGTGGGCTGGCCAGAACGACGAAAAGGGTAGGGAATGTCGTTTAAGGCTCGCCCGATGTCCCACTGACAAACGCGCTCGCGCCCCGTTTGATAGGGGAATTCCGGGAGTTTGGCTCTGGGGCGTGCAGAGAAGTGCGTGCGCTCCCAATATTCTCGGAATTTCTGGTCTCTCAAACACTCGCGATCGGTAACATGGAAAGGAGTTTCAACATTCATGCTGCAGGTCTAGCAGATCCCCTGTCACTCGGGAGGCGGGCCGTAGGCAAGTTTTGTAGACACGCGTGTAAGCGACGACCCTCGGGGTCGAGCTTACACGTGCATGCACAAGATTTGTGTGTCGTTCTCCGAGAATGAGTTCGGTCGGGTGTGCCTAAGGGAATACATCCATACACCTAACATGCACATCTACTTCGTTTCCCTTCGAAACACCCATGAATATGTTGTTACATGTGTGTATAGCATGCAAAGATCGCGAGACCAACGAACGATCGACCATTCTGATTGCCAGTTCAAACGGACCAAAAGACGTATTTCCTCTAAAGCTCGACATCCATGCATTGATCGAAATTCAGAGCTTGGGGGCGGGAGCATGGTCAATCACAAGACTTCCTAGTCTATATTGCAAAAGGAGAGAAATGAGAAATCGACAAGTATGCATGCATCACAACACTCCAGCCAACTCGACCATTCATTCACACCGTTTTGGCCCAAAACGCGCCGAAATCAGATACAGACGATTATCACACCCAACTCGACAAGCTCGTAGAGAAGTAGAG